CAATGGTAGAATTGCTGCTCTCTTTTCCTTTGCTTTACATTACTGAAATTTGGGATTGAGAGATAGAGAGAGATGTAGAGAGAATTCTCAATTCTTTGCAACAACATCCAATCCAAACAAACAATATTTTTTGAAAACCCAAATTCGAATTCAAAGCTTCAAAGCTTTTTAATGGTTGTCAATGGTGGAATTGCTGCTCTCTTGTGCAAGATACGTGGGGAGGGGGGTGGAATGTGGAGAGAGAAACGTGGGGAGTGGAAGATATGTTAGAGTAATTTTAGGACACTAATTATTATCATTAATTCCCTTAAAATGTACATAAATGGTAATTGGTATATAAAATATAATTATAGTAAAACTTGAGTAGGGAGGGTAATATAGTTTCATACAGTGCATAGGAATATAAAAATTCCAAATAAATATCTCAATCAAATCTGGACCATTTGGCATAGGTGAAGGGCAAATTTGATCATTTTCCCAAAGGGCCCATGAGTTCGGATCAAAGCTTATGCCGTTTGAGAATAAACGGCATAAATTGAAGGGGGAAGTGCACGGTTGGCCACTAATAACACATGTATTTACTTTTAAGCCACCGTTTAAAATGTCTTTAGTCTTTAGCCACTGCTTCAATAAACATTAACTGCCCGGACGAAAATACCCTTCTGCTCATGTCCTTAACTTTTGTACTTAACTTCAGGACTACATGTCCTTAACTTTTGAACTTGGAACTCTAAGTTCAGGACTTCAGGACTACATGTCCTTAACTTTTGAACTTGTAACTCTAAGTTCAGGACTTCAAGGCTACATGTCCTTAACTTTTGAACTTGGAACTCAAACTTCAGGACCAAGCGTCCTTAACTTTTGAACTTGTAAGTCAAAGTTAAGGACCTATTGTCCTTAACTTTTGAACTTGAAAATCAAAGTTAAGGACCAATTGTCCTTAACTTTTGAACTTGTAACTGTAAGTTAAGGACTGCATGTCCTTAACTTTTGAACTTGTGTCCTTAACTATTGAACTTAGCTTTAGGAATTCAGGACTACATTTCCTTAACTTTTGAACTTGAAACTCTAAGTTCAGGACCATGTCCTTAACTTTTGAATTTAACTTTAGGACTTCAGGACTACATGTCCTTAACACAATTATCTTTGTCCTCAACTTTTTGGCTTTTTATCATATTTTTCCTAATTATCTGTTGTTTAAGAAAATCTAAAAGTCACTTCTTTTAGAAAACCAAAAGTCACGTCCTCTCATGTTGTGATTATTATGAGTGAAACCAAGCAATTCAACTCCTGAAAGCAGATACAAAAGAAAATGAGAGGCTTATAAAATCAGTAAGGAATTCGAAACCATTAATCCCATTTTCTTTGTTTTCTCTATCAAATGGTCAGCTCTTTCTCGTTCTCTTCTGACTTTTGAGAGAGATTTTTTTCCTCTCCTTTTTCTCTGGATCTCACTCTTTTTCACTGTCTTAAATGTTGTGTTTGAGATTTGGGACACTATTGATGTCCGAGAGGATGATCAGTAGCTAATGTTGTCAGGGGGTCTTTCTCAAGTTCGATGCAGAGAGAGAAGCGAGGGTTTGGGAAGAAAGGGTAAAAATATCTTTTTATATTAATTTTAATAAAATAGTGACTATTTTTGCTCAACATTAGAATTGCTGGATAAAAAATAAATACCACCTTAAATAGTGGCTACCCCACGCCATTTCTACTAAATTGAACCAATAAAAATACATTTGACCCCAACTATTATTATTATCATTAGATAAATTTGACTCATTTCCTAGAATTCAAGAATAAATTTGGATCGTTTCCCTACTTTTTAAATGCTTTTATAGATGAAAGTATAAAAGGGATAATCCAATATGATTATATGTAATGCTACACTAAAATGATGTTATATGTGTTAGTCTACTGTATATGTAAAATAAATTTGGAGAAAATAAACTAACTTATAAACAGAAATATAAACGAATAAGAAGTTAATCCGAACCCACTGAATTCACAGTGTTTCCTTAAGGAATTTAACCCCCCTCCTAGTACTCAAGGTTGTGGATTATTTCCTCCCAGGATAGAACGAATTACACACTGGTGTAGTGGTACTTCAAACCCCGGTGTTTCAACGAAAACAAAGTTTGGTAGCAAATCACACTTACTGTTGCTTCTTTGAAGTTAAAACATGCAGAAGGAAGGAGGAAAACTCTAGAAAATCGTATGGAAAATTTGAGAGAATGGACTGGTATTTATAGTCGATGTTGAGCTCAAAACTAAAGAGGTGCAACTCTTCAGAATGGCTGTTTATGTAAAACGGCCATAACATAAATGCCATTACATAAATGGCCACCTTGGAAATGGATTTGGGTGTAATTGAGTGTAATTGCACAATTTGCCATGTTTGTTTGGCCAAGTAATTACTTGGTCAGCATGGAATTGGGTGTAATTGGAGGGGTGTAATTACACTCTCCAATTCTCAAGGGGAGGCGAGGATTGGAAGTAATTACACTGTGTAATTACAAGGTTGCCTTTTAGTTTCTTTCCTTTTTGTTTTTATATTAAGTTATTTTTTATAACTTTTTATTTCTATTCTTTTAATTTTTAAATTTATTTTTACTTTTTAATTTTTTAAAAAAAAAATAAAATATATTTTTCTTTGTACATTATTTGTCTTTTATTTCTCTATCTTTACTTCTTGTGATTCCATGTAATTGCTATATTTTATTTTTTATTTATTTTATTATTCAATTTTTTGAAACTACACCTCCTAAAATTAGAAAGAATGAGTCATTAACAAACTTGGCATATAATGAGTGATGCAATTAAAGTGAAATTTTGTTGTTGAATGTGGTTATATTTCCTAATCTTAAGTTGCACTAGAACTTACTATGCAGAAGAAAGGAGGAAAACTCAGAAAATAGTATGAAAAATCCGAGAGAATGGACTGGTTTTTATAGCCAATGTTGAGCTCAAAACTGAAGAGGTGGAACTCTTCGGAATGACTGTTTATGTAAAACGGCCATAACATAAATGACCACCTTGAAAATGGATTTGGGTGTAATTGCATAATTTGGCATGTTTGTTTGGCCAAGTAATTACTTGGTCAGCATGGAATTTGGTGTAATTGGAGGGGTGTAATTACACTCTCCACCTTGAAAATGGATTTGGGTGTAAGGGGATGTGAGAATTGGTGGTAATTACACTGTGTAATTACAAGGTTGCGTTTTAGTTTCTTTCCTTTTTGTTTTTATATTAATTTATTTTTTATAGCTTTTTATTTCTATTCTTTTAATTTTTAAATTTATTTACTTTTTAATTCTTTTAAAATTT